GAATCGTCAAAATCCAACGGAAATTCCAATGGAAAACCCATTCCAACGGAATATTTTCGTTGGAATTTCCGTTGGAATCCATTGAAAAATTCCAACAGAAATAATAGTATTGAAATATCCGTTGAAATTGCCGTTGGAATAATTCTTTTAAAATATATTTTCGTTGGAATTCCATCATTTTCTTGTAGTGTAGGTAGTATTTAATTGGTCAAGAATAAGAGAAAAATAAATGTTGCTAATTAATATGTTTGAATAATAAAAGAGAGCAAGGAGAACATGGTGGGACAAACGAGCAATAATGGGAAAAAGGTGTTAGTTGTATGCATTACTAAAGGCCAGCAAGTATTAATTCAATGGAAAAAGACAAAATGTGCCTTTATGGTCTCTCAATTTTTTTCCCCTAAGGGCATCTCCAATGGTAATAGCTATTACTAGCTATATAGTCAGCTGACGTGGATGTGAGAGATAAGAAAAATGACTATTTTACACTATTGGACCCACATACTCCTCTCACATGATCTTGGGCTACGTGAAATAGATAAGCTATTTGTTAGTAGCTAGTGACTACTCTCTCTCTTACTTTTCTCTTGTCCACGTCATAATAGCTAGCCAAATAGCTAACCATTGGAGGTGACCTAATTTGACAATACAATATATAATGTTTCCCTAATCACGGTGGGCACATGTTAATATGCACACGACTTATGTGACATGCACACATTTGTGATGTTAATATGTTCAAAAAATACATCACTAATGAGTGCATGCCACATAAACAGTGGACATATTAATATGTGTCCACCATGGGTAGGTGAGCATTACTCATTCAAATAATAATAATAATAATAATAATAATTACTAGCTCCTATTTTTAATATATGTCGTTTTGAGAAATTGCACATTAATTAATAATATTTTTTTTTATCAATAATAACCTTATTTAATGAAGATAGAGATAGAATGTTTTGAGAAAAAGTGAAGATTGAATATGAAAAGACGTAATGTATTTATTAACTAAATGAGGGTAATAATGAAAAAATATGTACAAAAGATCCAAAACGACATTTATTTAGTTAATAGTTGATAAAGTTAGAATGACATTTAAAAAAAATAGGAGGGAGTTATTATTTTGTGTGTGGGGTTGAATTCTCTTCTTCACCGAAGAAATATTATATTTACATAATATTGTACATGGAGTTGTACATAACACTCACATTACGTGAGTTCTACCAAAAATAAAAAATTTAAGTGGACTCCACTTCATGTGAGTGTTATCAACACCTCTACGTAAATTTATTATGTACTTGTAACATTTTTCTCATCGGACATTATTATGCCCAACTGCCACTCTGTGTTGTGACTTGAGAGTGACCCAAAATGATTTCCTTGTATCTTTTCACAACATAGAAATATTGCTATATAAATATGCAAAATGACTTGACTAACTTATGTAATGTTTAATCATAAAATTTTATTGTTTGAGTTCTGTTTAAAATGAGATATAATTTGATAAAAAATTATTTATTATAAATATATATATGTATGTATATATAATATCTACTAACTTTATAGAATTTGAATGGAAATTAAGTATGAGACTATATTTATTTCATTACAATCGTATTTCTATGTATATAGAAATTTTCGAAGTTTGAACGTCAATTTGTGTTTATTTATACGGTATATAGAACAAAAAATATGTATTTTTTTTTAAAAAAAAAATAAAACAGTGTTTATTTTTTGTAATTTATTAAATACTGGAGCGCATTGATTTATTTATTACTACCTCCTATTCTTTTTAAATGTCATTCTGGTTTTATCAACTTGTTGATAAACGGATTTGATCAACTTATTTATATTAATATTTATTAGATTAATAGCGTGATGAGACGATTTTATTGAATAATTGAGAATTATCTAGGAAAATATCAAGTCGGTATTTCGCGAGCTTGAGGTCGGTTTTTCTTATACAATGAAGCTAAAGTTGGCAATAGCCGAGGTGATTAATGCAGAATTTATGTGTCGGGAAAAAGATCCTCGTATTGCCTTTATTGCTGCTATTTATAGTAACTGGGGGCTCATCTTTTGAGTAGATTCGGCGGCATTTAATGAGGAATGACATCTGCGCAGCTTTTTCTGTCTGTGGGGCCCCCTCGCGCAATGATGTCTCCACATGGGCTCTGAACAGTTGATGGTACCCGCATTAAATGTTGCTTGCCCGCTCCGACGTCGGCCTGCATCCGAGGTTGCCTCATGTAGGAGGTCGGCTTCCCGACAAGGTCGGCTGTCTAAATGAGGTCGGCGACCACAGGTCGGGCTACGTTTTTTTTTGGCACTTTTGGGGCGTACCCCCTTTACTTTCCCGCCGTCCGCGTGTCAGTCATCCAACGCTAAAGTAGATTTTTAGGTCAACACAACTATTAACCAAATAAATGTCGTTTTAGATCTTTTGTACATGTTTTTTTCCATTATTACTCTCATTTAGTCAATAAATACGTACACTACCTCTTTCCATGTTCCCTCTTCATTTGTTTCTCAAAACATTCATCTTCATTAAATAGGGTTATTATTGACAACAAAAATATTCTTAATTATTGTGCAACTTTTCAAAACGACATTTATTTTAAATAGGAGGGAGTATATATTTTGCAGCTTAGTTCTACGTATTTTTAAATGCAGAGTTTTTCGAATCTATGTGTCGAGTTAAGTGCTTATTAGTCTATACGTAGAATTTCGGTGCTTCGTAATCCTATATGTTTGCTTTGGAGCAGATCATTTAGATATGAACTTGGATTTTTAAAATTATAATACATTGACCAAATTATATTATAGATATATTTTAAAAGTTTAATATTATTTCACATTAATCCTCTCTTAGATACATGCATTTACAGCAAAGCCTTAAATGTGAAAGTTGACATCGAACCATATATGACAGTGAAGTGCGTAAAAACAATTTATTTAATAATGGTCGTTTTTTTTCACACTTCTGGCTTTCAATATGGTGAAGAAAAAAGACATGAAAAAGACAAACATAATGAATTATGAATATAATATATCTAATTATTTACCTTCGAGTAGATTCAAGAAACATGAAATTAATGAAACAACAAAATAAGTCTATATATTGAAATAAGACAAAATTGGTTTGGTATATGACGGAATTTTTTAAGATCGATCGTATCTCATAAGTTTTATTGAGTAGTTTTTCAGTTAAGTCTATTTTTTAAATCTTTATTTCAGTTCACTTATCAGCTGATTTTGCCAAACACTTTTATCATATAAGCTGTTTTTTAAGGCACAAGTCTCAAGTCATCAGCTATAACCTTAAAATTCAGTTAAAAAAACTATAAGCTATCTTATCAGCTAGATTTATCAAATTTAGTTTTAGATTTTTGGTTTCAACGGCCTAAAATCTTCGTCCCTTGAATAATAATGAAAAAATGGATCTTCGAAAACCGTTGCATTTTCTTTAAGAACCACAACGATCGACCTCTTAGTATTCGACATTTTCTAAAATAAATTAAATATCATGAAACCTGCACAATTACAAGTAATTACTAATTAGACTTGGAAAGTTCGATTTAACGTCGATTGCATTACATTCATGCAATAATTCTATCATAATTATAATGATTTAGGTGAGTATCACATGAAATGATGAACCAGAAACATTTAATTTTATTCATAATATGTTGAATAAATATGTTGTTTGAATATTGTTTAAAGATGTTAATATTCCGGATTAATCGGTTCCCATGTGGATCCGAAAACCGGAAGGTCTCTGTACCAAAAAAAAAAAAAGATGTTAATATTCCCGTAGCAATTAGTTCCTTTTTGTCAACGCTTGGATTATATTGGTTAATTATTTATAGGCCTAATGATTGTAGAATATTCATATAATAATTCATCACTATTATATTAACGCGGTATATGTTCCTAGTCTTTGTCAACAAGGTTGTAATTAAATAAAAATGAAAATGATTAGACGGATACCATGTGAACATTTTTAACTATTACATTTTTAATTAGTATGATCAATTATCATGATCAAAGTTATAGCTAATTATCATTGAACTTTTTAGCTTTTACACCATAGAAAAATTGGCTATTATTGGTGCTAATATTTGATGTTGTAGTTTTCATTATTATTCCTATGTTATGGAGTCATCGAATGTCACGACTTATGGAATTATCCGATTTGTAATTCATACATTCCAACATATGAAAGTATGAAATACACATAAAGATAGAGAAATAATCCTGCAATTTTTCAGGTCTCTCTTCTCTAACAATTGACACATGTTCTTCATTTCCCTCTTTCACGTCAGAAGTTGCATTTCAAAGAAGTTGTTCTTTTTTTTTTGGGTATTGTGTTGATCCAACGGTAATAAATCCACCCTTTCCGTACGAAATTTATGAGGTTGAATCACATGAATGATTATACATATTAATTTTCGGGAATGAGTCACAGAATCATTCCGTCAGTATATTAGACTTAAGATACAAATGTAGAAGATTAGTGTAAGATAGATAATCACGGCTAAAACACATTGACAGAATCGTTCCATAATGAGACTGTAATCATTTCTTTAATTTTCTCTTCATTGTTCTATTTTTTTTTTTTTCTTACTCTCAAATATCTGTATAGTTATAAATTAAATCATTTCACTATCTACACGAAATATTAAAAAAAAATAAAAAATTACATACATATTAACAGACTTAAAAATCCACATAGTTCTTGTTATCCACATGTAAAACAATTTACTGAATCTAATTTTTGTGGTATATATAGAAATACATTTATTCAAATTATAGAACAGAGAGTCAAAGAGCCCAGCAAAAAGGGGCACATGCACAGGCACACATATATAATAGCTACTCCTCTCCTTTTATCAGGCACACACACACACACACACAACCAAAAAAAAAGTCTAATAAAAAACTTATAAAAAAAATTACTATTAATGGTGATGAGAAAGGATTTGGCTACGGCGATGAACGCCCGAACCCTGGGTTCGGGTAACCTAACCATAGTTCTGGCACATGGCTACGGTGGTGACCAGTCAGTGTGGGACAAAGTCTTGCCGCCGTTGGCCGCCAACCACCGTGTTCTAGTCTTCGACTGGTGCTTTTCCGGCGCCGTTGACCACAACTCCACCCTCTATGACCCCATCAGGTGAGCTTATTGTATAATTAGATCTTATTTTGGATATCGAAATGGCTAAATTCGTTGACGCATTTGAACCGGCAGTTCAAATTGTCAAAAAATCACGAACCTGAACCGGCCTAAGTAAAACCACGGGCTGGTCAACGGTCAACGGGCCTAACTGGGGGCCTGTTTGATGGGTCGGTTCGTCTCGAGGACATGTCTAGATGACAATTTTGTTCACTTAGTCAGTTACTAGTTTTTGCTTACTTTTGTATTTCTAGCCGATTTTGTCTGAAATTAGTTTACTCGGCATATTTCATAATGCTGCACTCGAAAAAGCGCAGGCACAGTAGGTACGAGGGCTTTGCAGAGGATGTGATTGGTCTGATCGATGAGATGAAAATCGGGTCGTGCGTGTTCGTTGGTCACTCGATGTCGGGCATGATCGGGTGCATCGCGTCCATCAAAAGGCCAGACCTCTTCACCAGGCTCGTGCTCGTTGGACCTTCACCCAGGTCCTTGTTTCATTTTGCTCTCTCATTTTTATTCATTTCTTTTCATTTTATGTTGGCTTAATTTATTTATTCTATATTTCAATTATTTGTGTTCAATGGTTTAATCTGAATTGACTTTTTGATAATAATTGAGAAGCATAGACATGGGCAGTGCTTGTATATAAGTTGTGCTTGGAAATTTTTTTAATCACAGTTCATATTTAATTTTAATTTAACTCAACTTCAATGTCTTAATATTATCAATATAATTAAATAATACTATCTCCTATTATCTCCTATTTTTAATATATGTCGTTCTGAGAAGTTGCACACTAATTAAGAATATTTTTTTTGTCAATAATAACCTTATTTAATGAAGATAGAGATGAATGTTTTGAGAAAAAGTGAAGAGTGAAAATGAAAAGACGTAATGTATTTATTGGCTAAATGAGAGTAATAATAAAAAAATATGTACAAAATATCCAAAACGACATTTATTTGGCAAATAGTTGATAAAGCTAGAATGACATTTAAAAAAAATAGGAGGGAGTATCTTTTTAAATGTCATTTTGACATTATCAACTATTAACAAAATAAATGTCATTTTAGATATTTTGTACATGTTTTTCCATTATTATCTTCATCTAACTAATAAATACAGTACTTCTTTTTATATTCACTTTTCATCTTTTCTCAAAACATTATTCTCTATTCTTATTAATGAGGGTTATTTATGACAAAAAAATATTTTTAGCAACTGTGTAATTTCTCAAAACGACATTTATTAAAAATAGGAGGGAGTATCAATCAATCATCCTCACACGTCTACTTATATAATTTGAACTATACATCACTTCTATTCAAATATCTTGACGTGATTATACAAAACAAAAAACAAAAATATAAATACCAAGAATCGGAACCGAATAGTATTATAAAAAATATAAAGCATGCATTAAAAAAAATAACCGGAATCGGTCTTCGGGTAATTGCATTTATTTTTCTATTCTCAACAAGTAAAAATTTATCCTAAGCCTATAACTACCTCACCAAATGCAATAAATAGAAAATGCATTTATATATGCAGGTATATAAACACTGAAGACTATGAAGGAGGTTTTGACAAGTCAGACATAGACAACATCTTATCGAGCATCGAGTCCGATTTCGAGGATTGGGCTTCGAAATTTCCATCTCTCGTCGTCGACTCGAGTGATGCAACTTCCGTAGAAAAGTTCCAGAAGTGTCTGAAGAGAATGAGGCCCGAAGTTGCGCTGTCCATGGCCAAAACCGTGTTCCTTTGCGACTACAGAGACATTCTCGACAAAATCGAGAAGCCATGTGATGTCATCCAGACAAGAAGTGACGTCGTGGTCCCGAGCTCGGTTCCCGAGTTCTTGGAGAGGAAGCTCAAGGGGAAATGTAAAGTGAAGATGATCAAGAGTACTGAGGGTCATTTTCCTCAGCTTACTGCAAATATAGAGTTCGTTGAGGTGTTGGAGGATATTTTAGTAGGTTATTGATAGTTACTTTTATTTATATTTTTTATTTTTTTGAATGTTTTGGCTTGTGTGTCGAGTTTCAATGTACTTTTCTGTTTAAGGCGAAATTCGACATACGTTTGTTCTTGTGATTTGGATGAAAAAATTATAATGTAATCAGCTACACCAGTTGAGTAACGCTATACATTTGTTAAAGTATACTTTCTTTTAGCACAAAAACTATGGAGTCATCGGATGATTTTCTTATAGATGGCATCCATCACTTGATACATTGACACCTGCCTAAAAGGTATTTATTGTAGAACACGTGTCAATACACAATAAATGTGGATGACTCCATAACAAAACTGTTTCTTTTAGTCCATCATTTACTTAATTTAAAAGTTTTCACATTTATCCATGACTAGATTGTTTACAACTTTTACAACAGAACCTAAAACCACAAACTCCTAATAACAAAAACATGTGACAAACAACAAAACTTTTTTTTTTCAAGTTTGCTCTTCTCCATCTCTAGCTCTCTCTTCAGCAGCAGCTGCCATCAAGTCTTCAAATTTCTCGGTCTTCCCCAGCATTATCTCAATCTAGTCCATAATGAGTCGAATAATTTAGTGGAGATATATGACGAGTGCCCTCACGTGATGAAATATACATAGAACGAATATAACACGAGCAAGTGGTAGAATGATTGCACTCTGTCAGCCTTCTGCTCCCTCTACTACCCACACAGGGTTTATTACCATTGAATCAACACATACCCACATGTGTGTGTGTGTGTGAATGCGTGTAATCCAACGGCTTCTTCTACTTATGACTGATCTACACTTCGTCGCCTTAGTTCAAAAAATTATAAATTCATACGTATGCATATTATCTGATCGTATATTCAATTTCCTTGTCAACATAAAAAATAAATAAATAAACAAATTATAACTTACTTTGGCTTTTGAGATAGGTCGTCCTCTTGATTCATCTCTGATTTCAACAGTTGATGT